TTTTTTTTTTTTAAATTTTTTTTTCAACGTTTATTTATTTTTGGGACAGAGAGAGACAGAGCATGAACGGGGGAGGGGCAGAGAGAGAGGGAGACACAGAATCGGAAACAGGCTCCAGGCTCTGAGCCATCAGCCCAGAGCCCGACGCGGGGCTCGAACTCACGGACCGCGAGATCGTGACCTGGCTGAAGTCGGACGCTTAACTGACTGTGCCACCCAGGCGCCCCAGGATTAGTGTTCTTATAAGAAGAGACACCAGAGATCCAGTTCTCTCTCTCTCTCTGTGCCCCAGTGAGGGTACGGTGAGAAGTGGCCATCTGCAAGCCAGCCAGAGAGCTCTCACCAGAACCTCCCCCTGCTGCCACCTTGCTCTTGGACTTTCAGCCTCCAGGACTGTGAAGAAATAAGTTTCTGTGGTTAAAGCCATCTAGTCTGCAGTATACTGTTATGGCAGCCTGGGCTGACGAATATACCCCTCCCTTAGCCACTGATGAAAGGTTGTAGGGGGTGTTCATCAGCCTTGTGGCATGATTCTTTTTAGGCCCCAGGATCTGGAGTCACTATCCTTCTGCTGGGGTCAGACACTTGGAACTTGAGGTTTCTAATCCAGCCTAGCTCCTGACTTTCTGGCTTCCCCAATCCCTGCGAACCTCATTTTCAGCTTCTCTAATGAGCGTTGCCAGCAAGAGAATGTGTCTATTCAGCACTACGGACAGAGGCACCCTGTCAATTCCCACAAATTAGAAGTTACTGGCTAGCAGTCTCAAAAAGGTGGTATTGGGGAGGGAGGAGGTGGGCTGAGCAAGAGACAAATCAGGGAGGAAGACCACCTGGCAGGATGCGGACAATGCAGCCCCTAACCCTGGCTATGCTCAGCCATGGGGCTCCTACAAACGACAAGTGCCTTCTTGATGCTGCTGCCTTCTTACACAGGCTGCACAACGCAGGAGGGGATTCTCCTTGTACTCAGATGTGCTGGCCTAACTCTTGTCAAACTGTCACCGTGATGGGTGCTGGTAACAAACCTACAGCTGGCAAGGTATCAGGACTGGGGAGACCATGGTGGTGTGGGTGTCATGGACCGTGGGCTGGGAGAAGAGCCAGCAAAGGAGCATGGGAAGAGGGCCTCAGAAGTTTGGTATAACTTTGGGGGTAGAGATGGTACAGGTGAGGTGCCTCCTCCATGCCTGGGATGGGAATGAGGCTCCAGGGGCTCTGGGCCTTGGGAGGGGAGGGGCCCAGCTCATGGCAAGCTGGCTGGTGGGGAGCCAAGGCTTCATTTGTCTGACTTTAATGAATAAATGGCATCCCCAGCCATTGTTTATCTACTTTTGAATCCTGACAAACAGTCTGTGGCATCTGATGGAGAGGGTTATTAGCTGCACGGAGACAGATGGCTGGGGATGAGGGGATTGGCTCTTTATTATAGCAGGCCCACAAGTGACAGCCCCCCTTTTACTTCCCAGCCTCCACATCAATGTCAATACCTTCCTAGAGCCTTCTGTGACCCAGTGAAGCCTCAGAGGAAAGACCCAGAGCAAAAGGAAGGCAGAACAGCCCATGAGTAAGAGGGAGAGATAGGGCCAGTGGAGTTGGAAAAGACAGCAGATTTCCAATTGTAAGTTCTATGAAAATAAAAGCTCTGCCTTATTCTTTACTATTTTCCCAAGTGCCCTGTAAGGTGCTGTTTATTCAATAGGCATTCAAAAAATGTGAATGATTGAAGAGAAAGGTAGAGAGGTCTGGATTAAAAAAGATAATAGAAGCAGATTTAATTGTGCTGGGTGAGTGGTTGGGGAACAAAGGTAGGAAGGAGAGAGGAAGACAAGTAGAGGGCACAAAGGGAGTAGGGAAGATAGCAGAAGGAAACGTGCTTACCAATCAGCATGCTGTGTTTTAGGCATTAGCTACTCTTCCCCACATTACTATATAAATAGCTTCATGGAAATCCAACCACTCTGCCCACTGTCCCAGGTTCTTCTTCCTGCTACCATAGCAGCAGGGCAGCTGCAGGGAGGATTTCACCCTCCACCTTACCCCCAAGAGTGTGGGCAGGTTCTCACTGACCTTCATTCATTCTCCGAAACTTGTCCTTGGCCATGTAGCCCAGCACCAGACAGCATCCTCTCTTCTGGAGGCCCAGCTCTGGAAGAAAAGCACAGGTGAGTGAGCTTAGAATGGATCAGGTGTCATTGAAGGCCCCTTTGCAGGGGCTACGAAGCTGCTGCCTTTATAAACAGGGCTACTTATTTAACATTTATGTAGCACTTGCGATGGTCCAGGCATCATTTTAAGCCAATAACTCCTCATTCGATCTGCACGATAACTCTGTGAGGTGCGTACCATTATCTCCATTTTATAACATCCCCGTTTACAGATGTATTGAGTAGGCGGTCTTAAATGGAAGAACCAGCTGGTGGCAAAACCAGGAGTTTGAATCTAGGCAGTATGGCTTCAGAGTCCACGCTCGTAATCACTACTCACAGGTTAATGAGGCTCTCTATACAGGCTGGGGGCCTATACCCAGATCATGCTGTGGTTGATCCAGATCATGCTGTGGTTGTGATCAGGCCTGCCAAAAAAAGAGGCAGAGTCCAGCCAGTGGTGTCCGGGATGGAGCAAGGCAACCAGACACAGGGGGTGATTCAGAAGAATGACGAAGCGGTTGGGTGAATTTGGGGGAAGATGTGGGGGTGGAGGTAGGGGTAGAGGAGTCTACCTTTCGGGAGAGAGTGAGTTTCTGGGACTGGGGATTCCCATACATTCCTATATTCCGGCACAAGGCAGTGCCGTCCTCAAGCACTTATGAGGTGTGGACTCAAGTGTGGAGCACAGGGATTGGAATGGCTAAGAGACACAAGACACAGATTGTGGTCCCACGAGACTTTGACACAACAGAAAAAATAAGGCAGGACAATGATCCTAGGTAGCAAATGCAAGTGGTTTTTTGTTTTTGTTTTTCCACGGCATTTGGTAAATGGGTGCCCACTGTGTGTGGGCGTTGGACTAGAGTACATCTGCCTCACAAGAGAACGAGATTTCCCCTCTGGTTTTTATCCTCTAATTCTGATCTGTCTTAAGCACTTTATGGGCTTTGAAGCAATTCTACACCAAATTCCTCTTCTGATCCCCCACAGCACCCCATGAGGTGAGCAGATAGGTTACTGCTATTCATACTATGCAGATGGGAAACCCGAAGTTCAAAGATGTCAAATGACTTCCCAGGATTATTTTAGACCCCCTGCCCCGCTTCTTTGCTTGGAACTCATACAAATGTGACAGCTGCCATAAACTTGGCGAATGGACAAGGGGTATGATTTCTGGAAGAGGGAATGTGACTGCACCCCCTCCCAGGGCTTGCCAGGCTTTCTGGGCACCCAGGGGTTCCCTCCATTCGTGTCTCGGGGAAGGTGGGCCCCAGTGAGTGCTGCATTAGAGCAACTTCTCTTGGGACACTGGGTGTTTCTCTGAGCCCTGGAGGTTAACATCTAGGCTGTTAGAGCTTAGACAGGATGGGCTCATTTCTCCTCCCTACCTCTCCATCCACCTCTTGTCACCCAGGTCTACCCTCCATGGGTTTCAGGATGAAAGGGTCCATGAGAGACAGATAAGTCAAGCTTAGGGGCTCTTGCCCTAGAGAAAAACAAAGCATGGCGTTCGGTGGCAGAATGCCACGGCCCAGGGAGGTTACTAGCTTTGATCTCTTGATTCTCTAAAGGGGTTTATTAACTATCAGTAAAGAGCAGAGAAGCAGATCTGAGCGTGCCTTTTCCAAAGGCGCTCACTTCTCTTCCGTCCCCTCCACGAGCACGCTCTTCTGAAGGCACGGCCAAGCCAACCTCACTTCAAACAGCTTTACATCTCAGGCGCCCAAATTGACGATGTTAAGTTCCCTCATCCAAGGCCTTGGCTCTTTCTTCAAGGGCTCCTGCTCTGTCGAGGGCCCTGTGGATCAAAGCCCCTTTGATGTTTACTTACTATATTTGTGGATTCTTTCTAACAACCACCTCAAGAGGCAGGAATGCAGCCTGCCAGGAGGGGGCCGGCGGAAGTACAAGCTATGAGGAGGCTCTCAGCCCCTGCGAACAATAGCCCCTTGCCTGAGACTCTGGGACTGTATAGAAGCCTCAACATGCTGACGACAGGCAGAGTTAACCAGCCCATTATAATTGCACGACCATTGTTCATCACCACAATGATAAAACTGCTGACGGTTCTTATTATATTTTCCATTGACATCTTATGCCCATCTAAAGCACATCAGCAGTGACTCCTAATGAGAAAAGGAGCTGGGGTTCCTGCAATGAGCCCAGGGAAGCACGGAGGAGTGGGGGCAGAAGGTGCTGGATGGATTTAGGCCAACATTCCTGTTGGTCTTGCTGGACCATCCCCTAAGCTCTCAAGAAAATGGAGCAGGCATAATTCTCCTAAAGATTGAGAGAGTGTGGGCGACCTGTTGAGTCCAGATCGTCTATGTTGGCTGTCTCTGCCACCCCAACTCAACCCATCGTGTGTCACATAATAGGTTGCCCCCAGGGTGACTGCCTGAGGAAAGAGGCCACATGGATGGTTATTGTAAGTAAGAGTCTCACGGACCATGTTTGATTTTCGCAAATGAGCAGGAAAAGAATTTTTTAAAAACCTGATTAATAAAAGAAATGGAGGGTGAGGCAATTTCTCAATGTATTTGGCTCATTTAATTTGACACGTGTGGGTTAGTCTTAATTATTTAGGCAGCTATATTACAAGGCGCTAATAAGCACACTGAAGAAATGTATTAAGTGAGAGGGCTCTCCAACTGAGTCCTCACTGAGAAGTGGGGAGAAGCCACTGGGATCCTTGCAAGAACGAGCAGGTTGGAGAATTACTGAAGTGAGAATTAGATAGCTATCCACATATGAAAATTTGGGATGTTCTTTGGAGAGATTTGCAGAGCTAAATTAGAGGTCACTGGGTCCACAGGAGGAAGGAGGGCTGAGGTGGGGGAGGGGAGGAGAATGTGGAAATCCAAGAGGGGAGGAGGCGTGTTGTCAAAGGCACTGAGCAGAGAGAGGGCTGGGTGGGGCGTGGCGGGGGGTGGCATCGGGAAGTAATCGCTTTGTCTTGGAGAAACTCTACCCCCGCCAAACGAAGCAGGCTCCTCTTAGGGGAAAGATGATGGACTGTGACACAAAGAATCTTTCACTTTGTGAGCTAGACCAGCCACCAGACTGCCACCTTCCTTGTCACACAAGGCTGGGACCGACAGTGGAATCAGATCACAGATGCCCATTTTAACAGCAAGATGTCGGGGTCTTCTCTATGTGGACCTTAGGGCTGCAGCCTTTGGTTGAGCACTTATCAGTACAGAACCATCAGATGTACCAAAGGCAGCCGTGGAAAATGATGAATAGGAATTGAGTCATCCTCGCTTAAAAGGAAAGTTCACAGCAAAGAAGTCCAAGGTCACCGGCAGATGGGGTGGGGAGGGCACTGTCTGAGGAGAGCAAAGGCTTAAGAAATACTATTCTGCAAGGAAACATTTATGGGGAAAGGGCATTGTTTCTTGGGAAGAAGTGAATGAACCCCAGGAATTCCTGGACTGTGAGCCGCAGAAGGGCCAGGATTGTGCCATTTTCAGCTCTGAGCCCTTAGTCCCCAACACAGTGCCTGGCACATGGCAGGAGCTCAGGACAAATCCGATGATTCGATGTAAGCACCAACTAAAGACTATTGGGCAGTCGCCTGCTCTCCCCTACCCAGGTCAGAATCAAACCAGGGGCTGAAACGTGGCACAATGGAGTCAGCCAGATGAGGATCGTGGCCGAGTGAATGAAAGTTGTAAATTCATTGGAAAAGAAGTCTAGGAAACGGAGCTTTCCTCTGGGAGGAATAAAAAGGGCTGACTTTGTAAATGGAACCGTTTTCCTTCAGTTTCACAGGGTGACGATGGGACTTTTTCTAGCCTTAGGATTTCTTTATTCTTAGGGGTAATAACAATGATACAGTGCTATTACTTCACATTTGCGGGACCCTTATTTTTACACGATGCTGTCATATTCACTACCTTATTAGATGCCCACAGTAGCTCTGTGAACTAGGTGAGGAAGAATGGTCTATTTCCTCCAGTTTGGTTTCAGAGACTGAGGTTCAGAGAAGTAAAAGGGCAGTTCAAGGGCAAAGTACGAGCTGATAATAGTAGTCAGGTTAGAAGCCAGGTCTGATTTCTAGCTTTCTCAGGGGAAGGTCTCGGATCCCAGGGCTGCCGAGGCTGTGAATCAAGACAGACCAGACAATAGAGAACAGATGTTGGTGGCCCTGGCTAGGACAGTGTTGTGGGTTGAACTATGTCTCTTCCCTGCCCTTCCCCTCTCCCCCTCATTCACATGTGGAATGTGGATTCACCAGAGAACGTGACTTTATTTGAAGATAAGGCCTTGACAGAGATAATCAAGTTAAAATGCTCATTAGAGGGGCCCTAAGCCAATGCCCCTGGTGTCCTCATAAAAAGGGGACATTTGGAGACAGACACACATACAGGGAAAACACCATATGAACATGAAGACAGCCATCTACAAGCCAAGAGAGAGGCCTGGAGCAGATTCTTCTCTCAGAGAGCTCTGAAGGAACCGACAGGCCAGGTTTGCATCTTATAAAGACCATTTTGGCACTGGTGCAGAGGATGGATGGGGAGGGGTAAGCCCAGACAAGAGAGCGCCATTGTTTGACTATTGCAGTACTCCTGGTGAGAGATGATGGGCTGACATCTGCTCTCTCTCTCCCCACTCTCTGAAGACAGCCTGAGATCAGAAAGCAAGTGAAAGGACCCTGAGCTTTCTCAGGGGGACATTCAGAGCCTCTCCATCCCTGCCACCTTGACACAGGAGAGCAGTGGAGAGGCTGAAAATAGCTCACCAGATGGTTCCTGAGACCATATGGAGAAGGCGTCAGCTGGACCTGGCTAGAGTCACAGGGAGGCCATGTGTGCTTCGAAACTCTCAGTGTTGGCTGGAGCCTTGCTCTAGCACTCCAGAGTGAGCCATGCTCTGGGTGTCTCTGCACTTTATAAAATGTGGATACTAATAGTAAGACGCTCTGCACATGGTTAGTATGAAAATCAGATGCACTTGGTGAAGAATGCCTACAATGAAGTAGCTGGTAAGGGCGAGCTCAACAAATAGAAATGAAATGTCAGACTGGGGAGTAGGGACCGTTAAATTCCTCCCCCTTCTTTACAGGTATGAAAGGGGAGACTCATCCAAAGTGATATAATGAATAATGAAATTTGGGGCGGTGTTCTTTGGAGGCTACTGTGGTAGCTACAAGTTGAGGGACTGGAAGAGGAAGTGAGTCAGGAAGACCAGCCAGGTGGGTACAGCAGGTGAGGCTGAGGCCCCGGAGGGGCTGAAGATGGAGAGAACATGGTGAATCTGAAAGACATTCTGGGAAGAGACTATGGGCTGAGTGCCAGAGTGGCCAAGCAGAAGGGGGCAGATGACCACAGTGGCTTTAGTTGGGGAGGTTGGGGAAAGAGAGGTGTCTGTGTCAGAAGCAGCTGACAAAGGAAGCCAATTAGGCCATGGGGGTGGGGGCAGATAATGGTGCATTTCTGGACTTCTTGTATTTGAGGTGATGGGGTTCCCAAGTGAAGCAGTCTTGGATGATTACATGAGCTATGAAGAAATACATTTTTAAAAAGTTTATTTACTTATTTTAAAAGAGAGAGAGCAAGCTGGGAATGCAAGCTGGTGCAGCCACTCTGGAAAACAATATAGAGGTTCCTCAAAAAACTAAAAATTGCACCACTAGGCATTTATCCATGGGATACAGGTGTGCTGTTTCGAAGGGACACATGCACCCCCATGTTTATAGCAGCACTATCAACAATAGCCCAAGTATGGAAAGAGCCCAAATGTCCATCGATGGATGAATGGATAAAGAATACACAATGGAGTATTACTCGGCAATCAAAAAGAATGAAATCTTTTCATTTGCAACTACGTGGATGGAACTGGAGGGTATGATGCTAAGTGAAATTAGAGAAAGACAAAAATCATACGACTTCACTCATAGGAGGACTTTAAGAGACAGAACAGATGAACATAAGGGAAAGGAAACAAAAATAATATAAAAACAGGGAGGGGGACAAAACAGAAGAGACTCATAAATATGGAGAACAAACTGAGGGTTACTGGAGGGGTTGTGGGAGGGGGGATGGGCTAAATGGGTAAGGGGCACTAAGGAATCTACTCCTGAAGTCGTTGCACTATATGCTAATTTGGATGTAAATTTTAAAAAATAAAAAATAAAATGAAAACAATAAAAAGGGGAAAAAAGAATAAGAACAAAAATAATAGAATTCACACATGTATGTTGTATAGAACTTTATGAAAAAGTATGCTGTTAGAACATGGCTTTATATCTACTTTTATTAAAATATTTTCCTTACTACATTACACAGGTAATAGTCTTTACCTGTGCATTTATTTTATTTAAAATAAATATGTAATTATTATCATCTGACAAGAATTAAAAACTAATAGGTGGTGAAAAAAATTTTAAAAAATGAGAGAGAGAGAGAGAGAGAGAGAAAGTGGGGAGGGGCAGGGGCAGAGAGAGAGAGAGAGAGAGAGAGAGAATGCACTCTGTCAATGAGGAGCCTGATGTGTGGCTCGAACTCCTGAACCATGAGATCGTGATCTAGGCTGAAGTCAGATGCCTAACCTACTGAGCCACCCACCCAGGTGCCCCTGAAGAAATACCTTTTCAATCAGCTTTACTGACCTCAGAGAGCAGATGTCTTCTGTAGATCAAGTCATTATGTAATGAATAACATAGAAAGCAATGGAATAATATATGGGTAGACTCTGCCACAAGTGTTAGTACCAGCCCTGCACAACCAGCACGTATTTATAAACTGTGACAGGTATGGTATCCGGTCCACAGACGCTCATGGAGAGGCTCCTAAGTGCACCATGTGCAAGACAAAAACATGTAAGGCAAGCTTCCTCCCACAATGAGATGATAATCCAGTTGACTATGTAAGGCATATACTTGTGAAAAGGTGAACAAAAATCAAACACTGTAGTTCAGTAAAACAAAGTGTCATTAGCATGTGAATTATTTCCACACTAATGGCAATAATTGCTACAGGTCATGGGATGGCTCTCGCCAAGGGCCCCGAAGGCTGGAGATTTGTCTGGGGGGTTGCCCTCGGTGGGCGTCCACACCGATGGCCTGACTCATCAAAAGCCAGTCTTGCCAGGATGCCTGGGTGATCACAGGATGCCAGAGCCTCGTGTTTGAGAAGTCCTCACCTTGATTCTGCTAAGCTCCTGCTTTCTGCTTCAGTTCTGCCTCACCCTGGTTTCAGCATTATTACTCACATCCCGGGCAATAATGGTGCCCATAAATCGCGCAGAGATCACAGTTTTCTGATCAACCTCTATAGTAAAGAGGCCTGAAGAGGGGAATAGCAAAGGCTTATTAATCCTGACTAGTGTCTGCCTATGGCCCTCCAGGACAGGTAATAAATGTTTAATAGCCCAATAATACCTGTTTCATAATTTTTGACTCTCATTGCTTGCTAACTCTAAGTTTATTAAAGAACTATAAACTTTACATTGTTGTAAAGACATAATTGCTATTTCATTACCTATTTAATATGAGTTAATTATATTAGAACTAAGTTTTTCCCCATTCATATTAAGTATCAATTAGTTGTTTTAAACTATTGATTTCTATTTAATTGCCTGTGCTATTACATACCAATTAAATTCTTGTAGGAGAAACCTGAACCAGCTATAGCCTTAAGTTTTTAAGATAATAAATTAGATGGCAAAGCTCAAGTGGCGTTATCTTCTTTCAGGAAGGGTCAGCAATCATTGTGATAATTCCCAAAGGTCTTTGTGACCCACCAGCTCATCCCTGCTAGTTCCTGCAGGGGCAGACCTCCCTCCGATAGCTGATGGTAAGAAGCTTCAGCTTCATATGCAGCAATGGCAAGAAGTAACACTGGGGAAGCCCTTTACCAGCCCCTGGCCTCCTCAGCTGCCTCAGCCTGCCCTTACTGGCTGGCACGGCCCTATCCACAGGACGGCTAAGGCAGGCAGTCTTTCAGTGATTCCTCACCACCAGCTGTGGGGTCCATGACTGCCCATGTTGCCGCTGGCCCCAGACCCCACGTGCCTACAGGAAGTCTGGTGCCCATGTGGTCACTACTCCTCTGGCTTCCCCAAACTCCTGGTCCACTGGCCCGACTCTACGTTGTGCTCAAGACAAATCGGACATTTACCGGGTGGCAATGGGCGTTTGACTTTTCTCATCCTGTTTCCCCTTCACACCGACCTTGTAAAGACAGGTGTTACTATTCTTATCTTTATTTATAAAGAAATGGACATTTTAGATGGGTAAGGAGTCACCTAGGGTCCCTCAGCTATTGAGTGGCAAAGCTTGAGTCCACCTGTCTGCCTGACTTCATGCCTGGTGCACCTTGCCATGCTCTGTCTCAGTCCTCCATGAGAACTGAGTCTCTGCCCACCGGGCTGGCTCTTGGAGACCTTGCCTGGCTCCTGCCATCTTTCTTTTCACAGAAGGTTGGGCTCATCTTCTACCCTCAGATACTGCCTGGGGTCTTTCTCCCAACTAATTAATTGCTTGGAATTCCAACATGGCCACCAACTGACTGAGAATGTGGCCTTCCTCTGGGCCACTTGGGCATCAATGCAGACCCCAGGGGTTGCACTCCCACACTCCTCTACACCCTGGAACTGGGACACAGGTTACCCTACCTCCTGGGGGCTGGATGCAGCCCAGCCTTGCCCCTCTCCACTGGTTGGTATCACCAAGGGCTCCCCCATCTGGGGCCAAGCTCACTTCATTCATCATCACAATCAAAGTTGCCATTTATAGGGGCACCTGGGTGACTCGGTTGGTTGAGCATCTGACTTTGGCTCAGGTCATGATCTCATAGGTTCATGAGTTCAAGCCCCACATCAGGCTTGCTTTGCTGCTGTCAGTGAGGAGTCCGCTTCAGGTCCTCTGTTCCCCTCTCTCTGCCTCTCCCCTACTCACTCTCTTTCTTTTCCTCAAAAATCAAGAAACATTAAAAAAAACAGTTGCAATTTGCTGATTGCTTATGATTTATTAGTCTCTGTGTTAGATACTTTGTGTGCATTATCTTCTTCAATCATAAAAATTCTGTAAGTACTATTATTATTCCTATCTGCTAGAATGGGAAACTGATTCAATAACTCACTCAGGGTCATACAGCTAGTAAGTGTGGAAGCCAGTAAACCTGATTATGAGTGAGGTTTTTTGGATAACTGGTATAATATCTTTGTAAGAGTTGCAGGGAATAGGGGGAGAGTTTAGTAATATTGGTTGAAGAATTTTATGGAAACAGTTTTATCACATGTACAAGATTACCTCAGCCATCTCTGGTTTAAGATGTCTGATCCCATGGGGTTAATTGCTCTGTGAGGGAATATGACAGAGAAACAGGATCATGAAGGCCATCCCTCCCCCCTGGCCTGTCATCATTCTGCTTATCCTGTGAGGGACAGGGACTGCTGAAGGCCATATGCCTGCAAGGCTTTTAGACTTTTCCTGAGAGAAAGTTGGAAGTTGGTGAGTAATGTCTGAATGGAACCAGATGCTTGACAGTTGTGTGCCCTGTCCCTGGGGAGGCTCAGCCTGGTACAGCCAGTCAATCACAGATAGGAGGCCAGGCAGAAAGAGGGCATCTCTTTTCTCCTTTTTCTTTTAGGACCAAAAGTGTCCCCAAAGGACTAAGACCGAGCGCCACGAGGAAACCTCCAAAGTCCCCCCTACCTCCCCATACTCACACCCCATTCCATGGACTTGAGGTCCAGATCTTTGGGAAGGCAGAGGCCCAACAAAAGGCTATGAATATAAACTTGATGCATGGATTTAATCTTCACACAGATTCCTGGAGATATGGATTATCAGCCCCATTGTATAGGTGGGGTTCAGGGAAGTTGAGTAATTTACCTGAAGTCACACAGCTGGGAAGTGGAGGAGCCAGGACCAAAATCTAGGCCCATTTTATCCCAGAGCCCGGGCTGTGCCATTCTGCTGGGATATGGTCTGGATGCTGAGCCCAGGTGACCAGCAGAGACCCCAGTGGGAAGAAGGGGACCATATGTGCTCAGAGGGTGCGGGCCAATGGAGTCATGGGCATTGCTGCCAGGGGGTTAGGGGGCACTGAGAAATCCTTGTGGGAGTCAGGCCCTGGAAAGTCCATGCCTGGAGAAGGATGGATCGCCTCCCTGGGAGACAGGGAGGTGGAGGCAGGACATGGAAGCATGGAGAATGGCTGCTGTTTAGTTATGTGCTTGCAAACCTCTGTGTCACCCATTTATGGCCCCAATAAAATCATAAAAGCTGAGGATTAACCAAGAGAGTCCCATAAGGGCCAGGAGCTGGCCTTAAGGAATTTATCAGTGGAGTCAGATATGGCCAGCCTCTGCCCTCAAGCCCTCTGCTGAATAGGGTGGGGGTAGACAGAGACGGTTGCTCTCACCTGGTACAAGGAAAGGGGAGGCAGAAGGAAACAGTGTTCTGGGAGTTGGGGGGGGGCGGTGTACGGAGTGTAGGGCCATCCAATCTGGCAGTCCCACCCGAGGAGACAATGAGGGCAGCTGGGATGGTATGAGAGAGAGAGAGAGACAGAGACAGAGAGACAGAGAGAGACAGAGAGGAGAGGAGGCACATGGTCGCCTATTACAGGGTCCTAGGATGGAAGGGCATTGGCTAAGCCTCAGTAGGCTGGAGGATGCCCCCTCCACTTTCTGGGTAGAAAGCTGTACAAGAGGCAGGCCAGGCAAAGTTTGCTTTTGTCCTCAGGCAAACAGATCAGAGCTGCCTGTTCACCTGGCCTTGCAGCAGGGGCCGGTACCTCGCTGGGCACCTTCCCTGGAGCAGAAGAAGAAGGCAGGGGCTGTGAGCATGAAGCCCCTTGCTGCCCCCACCTCACCGTCTTCCTGAGCGAGGACCAGCCCAGGCCTGGTAACTTGGGTGGTCCCAAGAGCTGAGGCTAGAGAGGAGCAGAGGCCCTGAGGGTGGGCCAGACATTGTCCTCCAGAGCAGTGTCGAGCTCCCCGCCACTGCCCCAGCTCACACGGCGAGAGAGGAAAGGAGGCGGTGGGGTTAGGAGAAGAGCCAGCAGAGAAGGCAGAGAACCCCCGCTGTCCTCCCATTACTGAAATCCTCCTTGAGCCTCACACACCCCATTACAACTCTGTATCTTATAATTAAATTGAATCTGCCAGTTACCTCTCAGCACGGCAGCAATTCAAGCTCATTGGAGGCTTTCTTTGTTTATTTTTATTTATTTATTTATTTAGTGATTATTTATCTAGCTACCCATGTAGCTACATGGAGGCCCTAGTGCAGGGTTTCTTGTGCCTTCGAGAAAATGAGGGTGTACAAATGCAGTCTCTCCCCACTGGTGTATGTGGGCAGGAGCTGTAGGACCCGCAGGGTGAGCTGTTGCTGGAGGGTCCCTCTGGGAGAGGGCCAGGGTGACCACCACAGGCTGGTTCCACCCCCTTGTTGTTGCCCAACATGCCTATGGAAGGTCCACTGATTCCAGAAAGCTCCATGGAAGCGCCTTACTCCCGAGGGGTAGAACATGGGTCGGAGAATGTGGTTGTGACTGGGTATCAGCAGTTAACACAAGTTTGTTGTCTTCTGTGCACCTGCTGGATACAAGCTCTCCTTGAACCCTCACGACACCCGAGATATTCTTGGAGGCGGGCACAAGGACCAGAGAGGTTCTGAGAGTTGCCAGAGGTCACCCAGCTGGTAATGGCAGAGTTGGGAACTGAACACAAGAATTGGGACAAAATCAAGCCCTCTCATCTTCCCTAGAACCCCAGATCCAAGCTGGCAGCCCAGCAACAGAAACCAGAGCACCTTTCTTCTCTTTAATGCTAACCTTTCGGCAGTGAGGGGGGGCAAAGGAGAGCCTGAGAGCTTTGATTAGGAACCAACCCCAAACAGATCCACGGGAGTGATTCTGAAACACCAGCCATCACTTAATAAGAACATGAGAGTTTACTCCCCACAAGGCTATCCCAGTGAGAGGCTGATTGCCATCAGGCATGCAGGGGACTGCACAGGCCTTGCACATTGATAGCTGAGTCCCAGAGACGGGAGCCCATTTGAGGAGAGGACGAGGTTGACTGGGATAGTATGAAAAAGAGAGAATGCATCTGCTCCTATATTATGGTGAGAGAATGGGAAGGAATTCCAGACTCCAGCTCACACCTTAGACAAATCTCCCCTGCAGAGAAAATGGTACGTATTCACCACCATTCACCATCTTCTCCCTTGCCTACCTGTACCCGCCAACCTGCTGGTTGGATCATTTGTGGGCCATTAAATACTTCTCAGAGCAGGGATGGGCGGTACCACCGAAGACCTGCATCCACACCGACCACTCCTGGTCTGTTCTGGAGCAAGGGAACTCACAAGGTTTTAGTGCATGTGGCCAGTGGCAGCCCATGTGTGTCTGTGACCAGTCTGTCCATAAGAAACCATGAGGGACCTTGACTCAGGCTCTGTCCTGACCACAGAGGATGGCACAGCCACATGAAGGAAGTTGGTGGCCCAGGCCAGAACTATGGAAGGATGTGTACCTCTTGTTAGTTTGGAGAAGGTTCTCTGGTTGGAAGACACAGTGAGGTAACCTGGTCTAAGACAAGGAGAGCCTTTAAACCGAGGGATTTGGGGAGCAGATTGTCCACAGCTGTTCTGACTTATAGATCTTGGATGGGACAGCCAGGTCCTTCCCTGGCTCCTGAGGCTAAGAGAAGCCAGTCAAGGAAGCTTGGACCACTAGGTCCATCCCCCTTGGGACTTCTCACACAGTAGTGTAGCCTTTTGATCGGAGATATCCACTTCATTTCCTCAGTCTGTGAAGTGGAGATCTCTTGGGCTGTGGTGAGGACCGGGGGATAATTTATGCAAAAAGCTGGAAGGTAAAGGTGAGGACAGGTGTGTTCCTATGACCTGTTCAAACATATGGAGCGAAGGCTGGACATATTGTAAACAACTCCACAAAGAGGCGTTAGAAAAATAACAACGTAATATATTATTATAAAAAGCACGGGTGTGCTGAAAGTC